TAGCTGTGAGACGTTTTCCAGGCTGAATTATAGTAACTTTGTTTTTTTTATATTTAGACAACTTTGTTCCTTTTGATACTACTACATAATAAATATAGATACATTTACAATATAGATTCATGATATTTTTTCCCCCATATCCTTCCTGAATTTTTTCACGAGACGAAACGTATTCGTATATGTGATGTACGATTTTGGCTGTGACTCACTGTATATGTTTATCGAATGCAGTTAACTGGTTAATCCATTCAGCTGACATATCAAGCTATGTAGACTCGTAGTATGTGCCAAAATCTGCAATTACAAATCAGACTTTTAATTCTAAATTGCGTACCAAACATATAATTTCTTTCATTTGATCCATTCGTTTCGTCAAATTCATTTAAGTTATACTTTGTGCCATCTTATTGGTTTACTCGGACGAGTTAACACGTTGAATGCCATCACCGATGCCCTCCAACCAAATCGAATTATTATAGTTCGGGTGTAGTCAGGTTCGTCGTATAGGTGCAATAATAATAACAGAATTCAATCAACTGATTCAATATTTGATTTTTTCCATTTCGTGTATTTTGTTCCATGGAATCGTGCGGCGTTCAACGTGTTAAATATCGCATCTAGTTCACATAAAGCACGAAACAAATGTTGGTTGAATACGCTAAATTTATTTACAATGTATCAGCGTGTGCAGTAAAATTATGTATATCGCATACAAGAAATAACGAATGCAGTAACGGAAATATGTGCAGCGTGTAGACAATTGGAAAACATGGCAACTACTGGTTCGGAGAAAACGTTGAGGAAGCATAAATCGAATAAACCTAGGAATAGTGCTGAGTTCGCGTCGAGACTTCAAGTTATATTACCTTCGGCAGCTGCACGCGAATAAATCAAAATCAAATACAAATCCGACTTGTATTAAGGATTTGGTGAATATACAAATAACGAAGAAATGAGATGTAAGTGTTTAATCAGTTAACTGCGTTTGACGAGTATACACGTCATCTTAAAGCTTGAAATGATACTAATTCTTTTAACGATGAATTCTTTATTTTTCAGATAAACATGTAATTCTTCTTTGTTGTGTTTTGGTTTTTATTAAAATATACCCTAGGTGCATTTGTCCTAATTTTGACGAGTACACGCTTGATTTTTTTATTTTATTGCAGACAAAACGAGAGATTTTTTAAACTAAATTCCAAAGGTTTATAGGTTTACGGTAGATAAAGGGTTCAGCGGACAATTTATGTTTTCACACTTCCAGTGAGACGAGTCTTGTCGTTAGATTGGAGTTGCCTACCTCATTGTTTGTAACAACGTAATTTATTTGATATTTACTTACAATTATATCATATTCCTTTAGATTAAATACAAACGACGATCGTCTGTTTCACTACCAGCACCACGACAAGATTTATGGAAACTCTAAAAATGTTTTATAACTTTGTGTCCGATACACGGAACACGACAAGACTTCGCTGCTATTTATGAAATTACTTTTTTGAATTATATCCACTATAAATTAATTAATTTAAAAATGTTTACAAAGAGATACTAACGCTATGCAAAGTATTTTTCACAGACACAAAATCAGTGTCTAAACATAAAATTATACAGCAATCTGTTCTCAACGTTTCCATCTTGCCTCAACTTTTACTATTTCATCGATAACTGGGAATTGTCATGATTGTGACTTTATTGACTGATTTAGTACTGAAATTTTTATTATGCATGTCACATACTAGTCTACGTATAATACAATAAATTAGAAATATATCACCATACGAAAAGTAGTAAACACATGGCTGCTCATATTAGATTTCCTTACCATTTCTTCAACGATAAGTATAATAGTATAAGAATTTGACGAAGCTCCCCTTTATTTGAACACTTTACTTACCGAGAGTCTATTAATGGATGCCTTAAGATTGGTGCTATATTGAAAAGAAACTTAATAATTTTCCTTTATATAATGGTTCCAATACAAATTATTACTTTATGTTATTTAATACTGCTCAGTATTTTATGATTACAATTGACATAATTATCGAAGGCTTTATTAAAAAATCCTTAGTTGTTAGTAGTTAGTCGCTAAAACAACTATTAAACGTCTACCGATAAGTAAAGTTCGAAAAGTCGAAAGAGAAAGAAGAAGAAAAGGATTTGAAACATGAAACAGTAAGAAACAACCCAAGACAACACGAAACACGGCAAATCCTGTACCATACTAACATTATTAGTAACATTAGACAGACGTGACATTAGATGGACTAACACAGACCCTAAAAGATGCAACATTTCAAAGCGAAGAAAAACGAGGAAAGACAAGAAGCATCAGCATATCGTGCGGAAACAAAGAATTCTATAATAGTAAATGGAAGAAGACTCGTTAGTAGATGTACACATGCTATGCAACAGACAAATCAAACTGTACTACGAAAATACTTTCGCAGGAAAAACTCTAGTCTGCGCAAGACAATAGTAGAAGTTGACGAAGACCGCAGATCACTTGGAAGGTGAACACCAATGGAAGATAACGCGGGCACGAAAAGAATTATATAGCGAATATTTTCTATAGTAACATCAATAATGTATAAATGGCTACAGAATGTACAATCTTCCATGAAACGGACAGTTTTAAGATGGCAACAGCAATCGATATTTACGACTAAGAGGTAGTAAATAAAAACTACGAAAAGTGTGGATATCTTCAAAGATGTCGCGATAAAAAATGATTAATGTCGAAAACGCGAACAACAAATAGCAAATAATAGACTACGTAACAAGACAATTTAAGATATTCGCAGTAGTTAGAGATCTGGTGGAATATACAATGCGAATACATTATAAAACAGAAAATAACGCGTATACTAGAGTGCTTGATCAAAAAATTAGGGCCACCATTGATGCTATTTTTGAAAAGATTAGCAACAAATATATTTTGATTATCTGATATTTATGTCTAGTTGTTTCTTCATATTAATTTTTTTATAAACAAAATTATTATTTGAAACAAAATTATCCATAAAATTTAAATAGGAAAAAAGAAATTATTTTTTAAATCAATAGTATTATTAATTCTCAAATTATATTAATTTTTTGATAACTCAAGCATAATTTCTATGCTTAATTCTGTCTTGAACTAATGGCCCTAATTTTTTATCGGACACTGTAAAATCTAACCATATGCAACGTAAAGTAGCCCCATAATATAGTTAACATCACGCTGACCGCCAAATAGACAGTCGCCAAATTTCTCTAACAATCAAACAATTTTCCTAATGAAATAGAAACTGGAAAACCAAGATTTTTCACAGTGGTTGCTCTCTTTACATTCTCGCATCTCACAGATTCAAGAAAGTTCGGTTTGTTCGATATGTCAGTCAGAATCCATACAAAAAGTCATCCAAATTTGATTGACCCAATGGTCAAAGTGATAAAGATTGCCATCGTCGAAGACACCAATATACAAAGAAAACACGAGGGAAAGATAAGAAAATATTTACCGCTAGACAGCCATAGAATTAGAGAAAATATGAAAGCAGAAGGTCCACACGATACCTGTTACGATCTCTGTCACTAGAATGACGGTGTATTCATGCACCACCGAGCTCAAGAAACTCTAGCTGATCGAATATACGCGTCAAGCCATACGGAAAGCAATCATCTTGAAAATCTGCAGCGTGATCCGGAACTTTCCAAACGACCGATAAATTTAATAAAACTCTTGTGCTGCAGATATACACTGCGAGGCATAATTATAGCACCACCAAAATTTTAACAATTATCATACTCCAAAAAAAAATAATTCATCAAAACTAACTGTACGAAATGAAAAGCATTGTAAATAATCATATTCAGATGAAGCACATTGAATTTGGTTACATATATATTGTAATATAATCGAAAAACACTTTGCTATGGATGCAGAACTGTGACACCACCTTCAGTTCTTAATGCCTTCCATGATTTATCGTTATTTAATATCATTGTTTCACTGACGCTGTAGATATGCACCCATGGAAAATCACATTTATTAATATATTTACTTTTGTATAAACGTTAAATGTTTACTTGTTCCTTTAAATACAAATTTTTACGCACTTTGCTTGTGATATTATTAACACTTAAACGTTATTGCTTGAAATACTAGAATTATTAAAAACTGTAGTGGTGTTATAGTTATGCTCCAGAGTTTAGAAAACAGTAATCCTGGATATGCGTGCAGTTGCTTGCAAATTTTCTTAATCCGAAGTAAATAACAGAAATGGCAAACTAGTATGTCGACCGATACATAGAGTCAATTATAATAGTAATAGTAATAGTAATAGTAATAGTAATAGTAATAGTAATGATAATATTAATAGTAATAGTAATAGTAATGATAATAGTAATAGTAATAGTGATAGTGATAGTGATAGTGATAGTAATGGTAATAGTAATAGTAATAGTAATAGTAATAGTAATAGTAATAGTAATAGTAATAGTAATAGTAATAGTAATAGTAATAGTAATAGTAATAGTAATAGTAAAAGTAACAATGCTCTCATATAGAACTAATAAATGGAGACTAATGAAAATATACGGAAACGGTTTGATCCTGCAGGGATAGGGTAACAACATCAAGAGAAATATCGTTTGATCGCACGGATATTATATTTCGATACTGTTCTTCGCGATTGAAAATCCGTTGCAGTAACAGGTAACTAGATAGCTGAGGGCGAAAGGAAGAGAAAATTGTGAAGAAGGGGACAGAAGAAGGATGCAGATGTTTCGTTGACGATGGTGTTACTGGAACCGAGGCGGAAGCTGTCAGACCGGATGCCGATAGGAACGCTGCTACGCTGCTACGCGCAGGCCCTCATAAAAAGTTTGACAACAGCGTTTCGACGATAAACCTATTAGGACATACTTTCTTTTACAGATACGACAAAAGCCGCTGCACTGCTCGCGTACAGCAGGAAACTCGTGTTGATTTTTCAAACGACTTGTTTCGTTCCGGCGATATCTAATCGCAAACAAATCGCAAACTTTGCTAATCGTTTCGCTCTGCCGACACAGCAGCATTTTCATAAAGCTTTAAAAGCTTTCATTTAGAAATGCTCTAAATTCTCATAACGGTCAACGTGTTAAGGGGATATTTCGTTTAGAATTGAAAACAGTCGATCTTTTTTGCTTGCATTTTCTTAGAGTGTATATCTTCGAAAAGTATTTATGCCGAAGGATGTGCCGAAATTCTTAAAAATAACGGAGTTACAGATATGTGGAGATTTTCCAAATATTGCTGGTTTAAGCAATTGGTCTGTAAGATGTAAAGCCTAATTTATTTTATTAGGTTTTAATATAGGGGCGATGTAACGGTTCCCCACGACGTGGAGAAGGATCTTCGTGTCGACATTCGATTAAATAAATTTAGAGAAAAAATACCTGATAGGGGAGATTTGTGAGAAGAGCAGTGTGTCTTTGTTGATGAAATTCCTTGTTAAGTCCCTTTTACGTCCTTGCGTGATCTTCGAATTGCTGGTCAATTGAAAATATTCGATACATAGCTTCGAATACATACGTAAACTACACAAAAACTTTAAACCCGATTTTTTCGAAACCGTATTTCCTGATCATGGTTCACGTGATATTTCAAGATCCAGTTGTCCGATGTTGTCATATATCAATCCGAAGTTGTCATTTTTTTAAATAATGGGATACTTTAATCTTTTCGATAAAGGCTATCACCACATTCATACTGAATACAATCATACCTCGCCTTTTTGTTTTCTTTTATTACAACGACCGGAATCATGCCAACTATTAAAATATGATTTTTGAAAATGACTTCCTTTAATAACGTGTAACTCCTAAACTTTTACATATTTTGACTTTGAAAAAATGCATAAAATGGTTCAAATGTTAGAAAATATATATGTAAGAAATCGACAAAAAATAGCGTTCACAATTAAGAAAAAAAATTCCCAAAGTAAACCTAAAAACTGCCGTTCCAAATAAAAATGACCCCTTAAACAAAAACAGGAACAAGTAGAGTAGCACAGGTCTTTTTATAACATCGTCAACTTCGAATTATTCGAGACAAAATTAGGACGTAATTAACTGAAAAAAGACTAAGGAAACGAAATGGTGCCAAAAAATAAGAAAATGATTAGATAAAAAAGAACCAAAGACCGCAGCAGGGTTACTATGGTGCCGTCACGGCAAAAATATAAAATGATTCTTCTTAGTATACGTGTTTTTTAATCCTCGACATTACATTAATCGTTAGACGGTACTGCTTCCGTAATTTCGCGTTTTTACATCTCTTTTAACCTTTCTATCTACGTCGTTTCGTAGAGTAATTTGATAAGCCTTCGAAAAACAGAAATAGCGATGAATCTCGTGATCTTACGGCAGAAATATTGTATAACCGAGCTAGTCATAATTGATGACCGTAGCAATACCGATAGAGTTCAGTGGATAAGTAACCTCGGTAATCTCTAAGCGCTTTAACCTGTTGACTGTGGAATTTAATTTGAAAAATCTCTCGTTTGCGCGCAATACAGTCAAAAAATGAACTGTGTACTCATCAAACGCAGGCCGAATGCACCTAGGGTATTTTAATAAAAAATCAAGAGAAAACGAAGAAGAATTGTATGTTTATCTGAACAAATAAAGAATTCATCGTTGAAAAAATTAATGTAATTTCAAGCTTTAAAATAGCGTGTATACTTGTCAAATTTGTCAATTAGCTGGTTAATT